GCGTCCTCCACGCGAACCTATGATTACAGACTTCGCAATCACGCGATTTTCACACTAAAACACATATGCATGCAATCCACACTACTACAAAAACACTGTTTAACATCGCTATATTTACATCGATTTTAGTAGAACCGGTGTAAATCATAAATGCGGTGGCAAACTTGTAAATAAATAGAAAATGCAAACATATTTACATCAGTTGGGAGGAGAAACGATGTAAATATAAGCAATTCTACATCGATTTTATGATTGACCGATATAGAAGTGAGCCCCTCATATGTGCCCCGCGAACACGCTAGGTTAAAGCATACTCGGGGCCAAGGCCTCTTCGCTCTCTTCCTCCTCCGTCTTCGCCTTCATAGACGTCTTCGCTCACTATTAGAAACAGAGCAGACCCTTTATTGGTAATGTGCAGGTGCTTCAGCGTCCTCACCTCTTTGGCTGCCATTCTCTACATCGCCGTCAACGTCCTCTCCGCCGTCCGTTCCTTCAAGCACGCATCTGACGTAACCCCTCTCTCTCTCTCTCAATCTTCGTTTCTTATTTTCCGTTACCGTCTGACACCACTCGCTTTCAGATTTTTGATAGCATATTCTACTATTACGCGGTTATCATAGCGGCTTTCGTCGTCCTCGCCGAGACCGAATGGTCTTTCATACTCAATTTCTCCAAGGTTCCGTTCCGTTTCCCTTAGTTACAATCAACACTCTCACGCTGTTACTCATGCTCCTAATCGAATGATTCTTTGCAGGCTTTGGAGTATTGGGCCGTCAGGGGGATGCTGCAGATCTTGTACGCGTTCCTTTCCATTTACTCACAATTATCTTATTTACTTCCACTACTTTCTGATTTTAACTTGCATATTAAATTATGTTCATAGTACGTTCCTAGCATTTTTTAATTCATGATGTTCCTTCAGGAATAGTAAACACATTTTTAAATTCTTGGCATACTAAATGTTTTATCATGAATTACTTGCACAATTTTTATGTTTTAGTTCCAATAGTCAGAATCTACTCATTTTAGTTCTTACCTATACACTTTTTTAATTTGTTTTTAGTCAAAATTGTAGGAACTGCAACGTAAAGACTATTCAATCATTAAGACTAAATGAGTAATTAGACTTGGATTCTTTCCAAATACTGCCTGGCCACTCGCATTGTTAAAATAATGCTTCACAGTTTGGATGTTAAGTTGTAAAGTTCAAACAACAATCCAAATGTCCCCTTGATCAAGTAAACTCACTTAATCTCGTGGGGAAACCAAATAGGGGAACTGTTGCTTAGTTACCCTGTGATGAAACAAAAATCTTATAATAGTGGCTTCTTCTCGTGTTTTGTTACTTTGATTTGATTTAGTAACCTTTCAGTCTTAACTAGGCTAGGTTGCTTGAGTAAACAAAACCAAAAGCTATAGTCTTAACCTGTTTCAAGCTTTATTGCATAAGGCATTCCAATCCCACAGAAGGGCACCTTTGGTTCCTTCTTTTTCCTGTCACCTTTCACAAGATCAACATTGGTCCCTTGACATTTTATATAATGGAACGAAATTAGTCACTCTGAAAATTATTTTGTCATTTGTATTCTCCTCTATAATGCATTGAAACAATGGTGATAATTATTCATTAGTAGTACTGGTATATCGTTTAAACACTAATAAGCTCTGCAACTATTTTTACTTCTCCAGGGCTTTCTGAAATAGCTTTAATTTTCTTCTTCTTCCATTCAAATATGTTGATTTTTGTTTACAAAAAAAATCTGAATCCATCTTTGTTCTAATAGGATTCTGAAGATGCTAAAAAGTTGGTTAATCAAGAAAAGTCTTTTGCCTGTGCCGAAATCCAAAGTGCTAGGTCAGTGGTGCTAAGAATTGGGGAGGCACTTGAGGAACAAGAAAAAGCTTCCCAAGCTTCTAAACCACAAGTACTAAAATGTTGTTTGATTACACGATTATATGTGTATGTATGTATAATTTTGCATTAATGAATTCATAATCAAGCTTTACTTTACACTAATAATTTCAATGTACACAGGAGAATCAAATGTATGGGAATAAGCAAAGAATTATTAAATAATACAATTTTAGGATAGTAAAGAGAGGTTTATTCTCTGTATGAAGGATGCAGCTAGAAAATAATATGTAAATAATACAATTTTGCATTTTTCTAAAATGACCTTATATATAATTATATACGTTAAGAACTTCTTATGAAGTTAGTTTCCTCATCACCTATACAAACTTGACCTAGAAAATTTTAAACTTTCATACATGTGAAAAATCTAATGCGTAAACGAACAAGCTTGTGTTTTTTTACTACCCTGTATATATTTATTTCATAGTACGTTCCTAGCATTTTTTAATTCATGATGTTCCTTCAGGAATAGTAAACACATTTTTAAATTCTTGGCATACTAAATGTTTTATCATGAATTACTTGCACAATTTTTATGTTTTAGTTCCAATCGGCCGTTCAGGACCCTTCGAAACTATGCAAAATTCTCAACTGGAATGGCCCGTCCCAAAACCAGAACGGCTCGTTCTCAATCCCAGCAGAATGGCCCGTTCTCCAAACCAGAACGGCCCGTTATGCTACTCCAATTTTGGGCATTTTTCTTATTCCGGAACGGCCCGTTTCACTTTTGAAACGGCCCATTCCGGGCAATCAATTGGGCCTCTGGCCCAGCGATTTTGGGCTGTTACAAAACCTGAAATGAATCTTGTACATAGTCATCGATCTTTTGATCTAGGAATAAACTGGATTTGATTAGCCACCTTGGTTCAAGTTGTCGTTCTTAATGCAAAGTGTTAATCTTAAAGCATAGAGAAATCATGTTTAAGATTAATCATTTTAGAATTCAAATTTGAGGAATCTTGTTGAGTCACTTTATGAACATGGAAGTAATGAATTTAAAATCATATATGTTTATAGAAGATTTAAGAGTTAGCAAGTACAATTGAATCCAATCCACTTGTTATATAATTGTTCTTCTAGATTTTACTTTTTTGTTTTAAATCAATTCATATTAAATCAACTTTCAATCATATTGATTTTACTCTATAAATCATTAGAATTGGAATTACCAACATCACAAATTCCCGTGAACGATACTAAAATACTACATCGAAACTTGGTCCACTTGCCAAGAATACAGTGATATAAATCCTTCACCAACATACCAATTTTTGAAATTAATTACATATTCATGCACAACATCCAATAAGGAAAACATCAGAAACATCAAACACCAAAACAGAAAATATTCAAAATTTGTCTGATCCTATGAGCATGCATCAAGCAAGGGATTGGGGCCTGCTATCCAATAGATGTTCCCACACCCCGAATGAAGTTTCTCACTCTACACTTACCTTGAGGAACAGAAGTCAAAGCATGGGAAAAATTCGGTTATTCCTCTTCTCTAAGTTCTCCTTGGTCTTCAGAGCGCAGAAAGAAATGAGTAAGGAAGAAGTTAGAAGAAATGAAGTGTAAGATAATTTCTCTTAACTTCCTTCTTAAAATAATAAAATAAATAATAATAATAATAATAATAATAGTTAGAGCTGTCAAAACGGGCTAGCCCGGCCCATGTGGGTCGACCTACCTTGACCCACTTTAAAAATGAGCCAACTCAACCCGACCCACTTTTGATTTTCTCAAAAAAAATTTGGCCCGGCCCAGCCCACCACGGGTTGGTGGGTTATACGGGCCAGCCCACCAGCCCACCAAAAATTAAAAAAAAAATTATCAACAAAATTAAAAATTTTAAATTACTTATAAATTAATTATAAATTAACATAATAATCATAAAATTAGCATCATTAATAGCCATAAGTCATAACTCATCATACAAAATTAAATATAAATCATGATAAAAGTCTAAAATAAAAATTTTTAATATCCCATCATACAAAATTAACTACAAATCATACTTAAATTTTTATCACAAAAAAAAATGGTGGGTTGGTGGGCTACCCGGCCCACCACGAGTTCAGCCCGGGTGGGCCGGGTCAAAGTGGGCCAGGTTGAGATATACTTACCTACTATAAAACTCCAATTTTTTTGGCCCGACCCGGCCCGTTTTCAAGGTGGGTCGGGTTGGCCCACGGGTCCCGACCCATTTTGACGGCTCTAATAATGGTAATAAATAAATGACTATCATGTCCTTCTTTCTCCTCATAAAATAATTAATACAATATAATTAAAATACACCTCTTTCCTTTAATAAAATAACATAAGCATATTTATTAATAAAAATACATTTTATAAAATACATCATGCATCACTAATTAAAATAATAATTATAAATCATATCTCATAAATAAAATAGAGCTCATATAATTAATTAAATAATAAAAAAATTCCAAAATAAATACATTAATATTAAAATAGTTTCTAAAATGTTATTAATATAAAGTATATAATAACAAGGTTTTACAATATTTATTTTTATATATAATTACTCTAATTTAATTATTATTTATTTAAAAAATAGGATGTTACATTTTTATTGTATTGAATATTTAATTATTTATTTTCAATATATTTTACTTTTTTTACTATGTTTAAATTTTCAATTACTTTTTTTTATAATTTTTTATTTTTACTACGTTTAAGTTTTCAATTACTTTTTTTTTTTTTACAAGTTTCAATTACTAACACGAGATATTGGTTAATTCCGTCTGTACTCACTTTCCATTTTTATATTTTAAAGTTCTCCATGCACTTTGCAAAATTAAAATGTTGTGATATTATATACTTCGAAGTTATAACATTGTTAATAATCATAAAATGACAGCTATTAGTTTAAAATATAATATTATTAAATATTTTTCTTTTAAAATAATTAAAAATAAGTGTGAAGATAATATTTCCTTTAAAAGTATTTAATAAATATAATATTTTTTTTCTTTAATCAATTATATTTGATAAATATAATATTTTCATTTTATGTTTTATGTCTTTATTCATTCATTCATTCATTCATTTTTTTAATGTTTTAAAATTATTCATTTACTGTCCAAAAATAAATATTTTTAAATTATCCTCCAAGACTTCACTCGACAGTGATTATGTATAGTCATCATACATTTTTAATAATTATAAAATTTATCTTTATAAATATGCAATAACTTTTTTTCAATATTATCTATAACAATAATTAATCTTTATAAAAACATTATCAGTGTAATAATGCCATTTAATCTATTTATTTATAGATTTATCTCAACGTCTTTTTTTTATTTTAAATAATGATAGTCATTTTTTCTCTTTCTCGAGGGAAACATATTTTTTTAAAGAAAAAAGAATAATAAAATTATGTACGTATAATATACTTATAAAGATAATATTTCTAAAACAAATATGTATATATAAATTAAAATGATATAAAATATATGTAAATATAAAATTATTTGAATATTTAATATGAATATATATTACGATTTTAATATATTTCTGAATCAATTTTAACTAACTCTTTAAAAAAGATTGAGATTAATTTGTCTCGTTCCTGTGACACCCTTACTACCCCAACACATATATAATATAAGCTTGAGTAAACAAAACCAAAAGCTATAGTCTTAACCTGTTTCAAGCTTTATTGCATAAGGCATTCCAATCCCACAGAAGGGCACCTTTGGTTCCTTCTTTTTCCTGTCACCTTTCACAAGATCAACATTGGTCCCTTGACATTTTATATAATGGAACGAAATTAGTCACTCTGAAAATTATTTTGTCATTTGTATTCTCCTCTATAATGCATTGAAACAATGGTGATAATTATTCATTAGTAGTACTGGTATATCGTTTAAACACTAATAAGCTCTGCAACTATTTTTACTTCTCCAGGGCTTTCTGAAATAGCTTTAATTTTCTTCTTCTTCCATTCAAATATGTTGATTTTTGTTTACAAAAAAAATCTGAATCCATCTTTGTTCTAATAGGATTCTGAAGATGCTAAAAAGTTGGTTAATCAAGAAAAGTCTTTTGCCTGTGCCGAAATCCAAAGTGCTAGGTCAGTGGTGCTAAGAATTGGGGAGGCACTTGAGGAACAAGAAAAAGCTTCCCAAGCTTCTAAACCACAAGTACTAAAATGTTGTTTGATTACACGATTATATGTGTATGTATGTATAATTTTGCATTAATGAATTCATAATCAAGCTTTACTTTACACTAATAATTTCAATGTACACAGGAGAATCAAATGTATGGGAATAAGCAAAGAATTATTAAATAATACAATTTTAGGATAGTAAAGAGAGGTTTATTCTCTGTATGAAGGATGCAGCTAGAAAATAATATGTAAATAATACAATTTTGCATTTTTCTAAAATGACCTTATATATAATTATATACGTTAAGAACTTCTTATGAAGTTAGTTTCCTCATCACCTATACAAACTTGACCTAGAAAATTTTAAACTTTCATACATGTGAAAAATCTAATGCGTAAACGAACAAGCTTGTGTTTTTTTACTACCCTGTATATATTTATTTGCTTGTTGTTTAGTTAATATGGAAAATTCCTAAAGATGCTTTATTGATATTATGTTGCTATTGTTATGTTTAGCACGTAAAGTATACACTCTGTTTTTCCTCATTGACAGGACGTGGATGGACTAATAGAAGAGGTTCAAGAGGCTAGAAGAATCAAATTGTTGCATCAGCCAAGCAAGGTGAATTGCTTTTTGCTTCCTCAATACTGTTGTAGCTGATAGTTTTTGTTTAATTTCACTATATTGCATTTTTATTATTATTTAATAATAATAATAATAATAATAATAATAATAATAATAATAATAATAATAATAATAATAAACTACGGCCCGTTCCAAAATCGGAACGGCCCGTTCTGGGCCCTTCAAACCTACGTAAATTTTTCAACTGGAACGGCCCGTTCCCAAACCAGAACGGCCCGTTCTCAAACCCAGCAGAACGGCCAGTTCTGCTTCCAGAACGGCCCGTTCTCCAAACCAGAACGACCCGTTCTCCCTCTGGAACGGCCCGTTCTCCAAACCGGAACGGCCCGTTCTCCCTCCAGAACGGCCCGTTCTGCTTCTCAAATTTTGGGCCTTTAACTTATTCCAGAACAGCCCGTTTCACTTTTGAAACGGCCCGTTCTGGGCAACGAATTGGGCCTACGGCCCATTGAAAATTGGGCTGTTACAGTTCCCACATATTTTTTTATATATATATGATTTGCCATTTTTCTTTTATTTTTTTGAACATTTAATTATTTATCTTTAATATATTTCACTTTTTTATTTTTTATTTTTACTCTATTTAAATGTTTAATTATTATTCTTTTTTGGACAATTTCAAATAGTATCCTGATACATGAGATATTTGTTAATTCCGTCTATACTCATTTTCTATTGTACATTTTCTATTGTAGTTTAAAATTGTGCATTCACTTTGCAAACAATAAAATATTTGGATATTATCCTCAAATATTATGACATTGTAATAGTATTAAATGCTTTTCCTTTAAATCAATTAAAAAATATTGTGAAGGATAATATTTTCTTTAGAGTATTTAATTTTTTTGTGTTAAAAATTATTTTTTTTCTTTAACAAATTATATTTAATAATCTAATATTTAATGATCATTTTTTATTTTTGTTTTAAAATTATCCATTCACAGTCCAAAAGTAAATATTTTTAAATTATTCTTCAAGGTTTCTGTAACGTTGTAAGTATTTTAGAAAGCGATGGGTGATTTAGTAGCCTAGAAGGAGCCGTTTCCAAACTGGAACAGGCTGTTCCAAACTACTAAATTGGTCTAAAATTCCTAGACTGGAACGGGCCGTTCCAAATATGGTTGTTGTGAGTTAAATTCAACTCCAGAACATGTCGTTCTAGACGTGCCAGAATGGGCCATTCTGGTTTCAAAATGGGTCATTCTGGTTTCAAAATGGGTCATTCTGCATGTAAATTTTACACATGATGAAAGAGTTTAGAACGGGTCGCTCCGGCCACTCCTGACCTCTATAAATAGGCGTTAATGAGGGAGAGAAAGGGAAAGAAAGAGGGAGAGGTAGAGAGAAGGACTATGGTCCGCTAGGAAGCTTGATTTTAAAGGATTGAAGTTCAGGAGACGAGCTCGGAGGAAAGTTCATATCTCTTAGATTATATATAAAAAAATTTATATTAATCAAAGATGATTTGATACTTCATTTTTATAAAACAAAATTGATGTAATATATTCATTTCAAAATACACTAAAATATGAATACTTTGATTACCTTCCAGTTGTTGTTCAATTTTAACAAAATTTGATATACACGTATAAAGTGATATGAACTTTCAATTTAACGGTTGGATTTACAAAATTCACATTTAATATAAAGTTATTGAGTGGCGTAATACTTAATTAGTAAAAGTTACACCGGTATAATTATAACCTCATATATTATATATATATATATATGTGTGTGTGTGTGTGTGTGTGTGTGTTTGTGTGTGTAATTTTAAGCTTATTACTTCTAGAAAATAAAAAATTTATTTTTTTTCTTCTAAAATATGAAACTACTATTTATGTTAAATAAACTAATATATGCACTAATTATTTAATAGAAAACTCATGAAATACACAAATATGAAAATATTCACACTTGAACTTGCTTACTATAATTTTAAAGATAATATACTAACATCTCTAAGTAGTTTATAAATATTTAAAAACAAATATTATTTATTTAAAATAATTGTTAAGATCGAAAATATTAATTTTAGAAGGTTTAAATATATTTTAGTCCCTATAAGATGGGTGATTTTAATTTTGGTCTTTGTAAATCTTTTTCTTTATTTTTCATCCTTGTAAGATTTATAAAGATTTTTTCGTACTTGTAAAATGAGTAAAATATTTTTCTTTGATTTTCATCCCTCTAAAATATAAATTCACTAGTTTGATTATTTTAAGGTAGATAAATAATATTTATTTTAAAAAACTAAAAAAAATAGAGGTGTTAAACATCAATACGATAATAGTACGTAATTATTGTAGGTGACACCTAAGATAATTATTTATCTTTTTTAAAAAAAATAAAAAGTAGTTAAAAATGAATACATAAAAAATAAGAATTAAAAATAAAATTCCAATTTTAGAAAGAGAAAATAAGAATTAAAAATAAGAATTAAAAATTAGAATTAAAAATAAAATTAAAAATAAGAAATTAAAAATAAGAATTAAAAATAAGAAATTTCAGACGGTTTTATTTTTCTGTCAGAAATTTCTGACGAAATTTTCTGTCAAAAAGTTTCCGTTGGAAATTTCTGACGGATTTATATTTCCATCAAAAATTTCCTACGGAAATATAAATCCATCGAATATTTCTTACGGAAATATCCGTCGAAAAATATAAATTTTTCGACAGATCCATATCCGTAAAAAATTTACGTTTTTCTTGTAGTGACCTTCTACTAGGAAGATTGAGTTTAGCATTCATTTGATTCTTGATGCATGGCTAGTGTCGGTTGCTCCCTATAGGATGGTTCTAACAGAGTTGGTTGAATTGAAGAGGCAGTTGGAGGAATTGTTGGAAAAGCAGTTGGTAATAAGGCTGAGTGTATCTCCATGGGGTGTTTCCGTGTTATTGGTGAAGAAGAAGGATGGAGGTAGTCGACTGTGTGTTGATTACCGACAGTTGAACAAATTGACCATTAATAACAGATATACATTTCCTCGGATAAATGACTTAATGGATCAATTGAAGGGAGCATCGGTATTTTTGAAGATTGACTTAAGGTCAGGATATCACCAGATCAGGGTGAAGGAGGGTGACATACCTAAGACTACATTCAAGACTAGGTATGGTCACTATGAGTACGTTGTGATATCGTTTGGGGTGACCAATGCCCCGACAGTGTTCATGAATTACATGAACAGAATCTTCCGGCCTTTCTTGCATAAATTTGTGGTGGTGTTCATTGATGACATCCTTATTTATTCAAGAATCCCGGAGAAACATGGAGAGCACTTGAAGTTGGTGTTGGAAATTTTGAAAGAAAAATAGTTGTATACGAAATTGTTAAAATGTGAATTCTAGTTGAAAGAGGTGAAGTTCTTGGGTCATGTTATTTCAGTAGAAGGAATTGTAGTTGATCTGGCTAAGGTGGAGTCGGTGTTACAGTGGGAATGCCCAAAAACTGTCACAAATATTCGGAACTTTGTGGGTGTAGTGGGTTACTATAGGAGGTTCATTGAAGGATTCTCCAAATTAGTAATGCCTCTAACCCAGTTGACTAGAAAGGATCATCCTTTCATTTGGACAGATACATGTGAGTAGAGTTTTGAATAATTAAAGAAGAGGTTGACTACTTCTCCTATGTTGGTGTTGCCTGATCCTAGTGAGCCATTTGAGGTGTGTTGTGATGTTTCTCACCAGGGATTGTGGTGTGTGTTGATGCAAAATCGGAAGGTAGTGGCATATGCTTCAAGAAAATTGAAGAACCATGAGAGGAATTATCCTACTCATGACTTGGAGTTAGCAGTTGTTATTTTTGCCTAGAAGATAGGGAGGCACTATCTTTATGGTGCTAGCTTCAACATCTTCAGTGATCACAAGAGCCTGAAGCACTTGTTTGATCAAAAGGAGTTGAACATGAGGCAAAGACGCTGGATGGAATTTCTGAAGGATTATGACTTTCAGTTGATGTATCCCTTAGGGAAGGCCAATGTAGTGGCGGATGCTCTTAGTAAGAAATTCATCCACATGTCTAGTTTAATGGTGAAAAAGTTGGAGCTGGTTGAGAAATTCAGATATTTAAATCTCTATGTAGAGTTGGCTCAAGACCACATTAGTTGCAGAATGACTACCATAACTAATGAGTTCTTGAAGTAAGTTAGGTTGAAGCAGTTGCAAGATCCTGAGTTGGTGAAGATTTTTTTTGGTTGTTGGGTATTGAGAAGGCTGTTGGTTTTGAGTTGGGTAGAGATAAAATTTTAGGGACATTGCTGAATATGTGGCGACCTATCTGACCTGTCAGAAGGCAAAGGTTGAGCACCAGAAGCCTGGTGGTTTGTTGCAAATGATGGAGATCCCAGAATGGAAGTGGGACAGTATCACTATGGACTTCATTATTGGGTTGCCTAGGTCAGCTAGGAATAGTAATGTTATTTGGGTTATTGTTGACGGATTGACCAAGTGTGCGCATTTCTTGCCTGTCAATATCAAGTGGTCCTTGGAGAAGTTGATGCAGTTGTATGTGAAGGAAATAATACAGTTGCACGGGGTACCTTCCAGTATTATTTCAGATAGGGATCTAAGGTTCACTTCCAAATTTTGGTAGAGTCTACACCAAGCCTTAGGCACGAGGTTGAGATTGAGTTCTGCTTATCATCCATAGACGGATGGTGATTTAGAGAGGACAATTCAGTCCTTGAAAGATTTGTTGAGGGCTTGTGTGCTAAACTACTTGGGAAGTTGGGAGGAAGTCATACCACTGGTAGAGTTCACGTATAACAATAGCTTTCATGCTAGTATCGGGATGGCACTGTTTGAATCCCTGTATGGTAGGAGGTGTAGGACTCCTCTGTGTTGGTACCAAGATAGTGAATCAGTGGTTGTGGGGTCAGAGTTAGTCCTACAGACTACTGAGAAAGTAAAGTTGATTCAGGAGAGTATGAAGACTGTCAAGAGTAAACAGAAATCATATGCTAATGAAAGGAGAAAGCCTTTGGAGTTTGCTGAGGGGGAACATGTTGTCATCTCGTTTGGCAAGTGTACCAAATCGTATACGTAGTTCAATCACAACGGATTACAAGTATTCTCAACCACTTCTGGTTCGTTAACTTCACTCGCTAACGCTAGTATTCTTAAACCACTTCTGGTTCCCCGAGTATTCTCAACCACTCCTGGTCCGTCAACTTCACTCGTCGACGCTAGTATTCTTAAACCACTTTGGTTCCCCAAGTATTCTTTCATTAGCCTCCTCAGGCTTTACAAACGATAGATGTTTTGAGTGTGTATGTGACTCTCATAGAGAGGATAGTATGGTTTCTGCACTCGCTAAGGTATTCAACCTTAGTTTTACAAAGATATCTGTTTAGAGTGTGTATATAACTCTCGCAGAGAGGATGGTATGGTTTCTACACTCACTAAGATAAGTTATCTTAGTTTTTACACAAATATACAAGACTGTACAGGAAGAGATGTAAGATTGTTTTGATGTTCGCTTTTCTAGTTGCTTCACTTCTCTATTCTTCTCTTCTCAGGTCTTGATATTTATAGCCTTGTGATAAATTTTCCCGTTGTTTGAATTTGAATGTGTCCATTGAGGCGGAGCTTCCCGTTGGTGCAGATAGCAGTTCGTTCATGGCTGTGTAGATCTTTCATTTAATGCATTTGATTTTGCATTAAATGTTTGCTTGCCAAATCTGAGTTACGTGAAGTCCTTTACGTAGTTTGTTTACTTTTATGTCTGACTTCAATCATAACCTAGGTATTTCTTTTCTCTTTTCATCAATGTAGCTGCAGAGGCGTTGTCTTTTTTTTTTTTTCCTTCTGAAAAGTAGGTGTACTTGCTCTGACACTCGCAGCTTTGACTTGTGAATTTGCGCTCTTCTATTTTTCTTCTTTCTTTTCGTATTTTTTGATGACTCCGTGTGCTCTTCTTATGAATGTAGATGATATATGATATTCCTCGTTGTGAATAGTAGACTTTAGACGCTTTTCAATATTCTTCGTCTGCATCTGGAATTTGAGTCTCCGTCTAAGAGATAGACTTTGACTTTTCCTTTCATCTGGTTTGACTTCTTCGTCTTAGCTTATCCATCGTCTGATGTTTTGACTTTTGACTAGTTGACCATTAAGCTTCAACTTTGTCTTGTTCTTGACTTAGCCTTGTTTGATGCTTGTTTTGGCCTTTCATCTGCTACTTCAAGACTTCGACTGCTAGTATGCTTTGGCTTGTATCTGGCTTTTGAACAGTTTTTAGTCTTGATGTCTAATTAACCATCGTCTGATGTTTTTGTGTAGCTCATTCAGACATAGTATGTGCAATACCGCGTACTCCATTTTTCAGTTTGTTTTTATATTTATCTAAAACACTAACACACACGTTAGAAATAACAATATGCATTATATTGGTCATGTTCAAAACCTTGTCCGGAATTTCTTCGTCTGACTTAACAATCTCCCCCTTTTTGATGATGACAAATATAATCTATCAATTTGTTTCAGATACAATATAACATACATACATGTTTATGAATATCAAAAAGTTTATCAAGTTCATGCATTGTATATCATACATATCAACATTTAAGGGTTTAGGATTCTAAGGCTCTCCCCCTTAGTATATGCTCTCCCCCTCACTCGATTATCCCTTAGACAGGTTTGATAGATTCAAGCCTATTTCTCCCCCTTTGTAATCATCAAAAAGGAATAGAGTTAAACAAAACAACAACCTATTGTTCACCTATCAGTTCCATTCCTAGCCTATCTCTCAGCCAGATGTATCTATCTTCTTAAAGGAGCTTGGTAAAGATATCTGCTAGTTGTTCTTCTGTTTTAACATATACTAGATCGAAGGTTCCTTTTTGCACATGATCACTAATAAAATGATGTTTTATCTCTATGTGTTTAGTCCTAGAATGCAAAACAGGTTTTTTAGAAATGCTAATTGCAACAGTGTTATCATAGAGTACAAGAATACTACTTTTGGCTTCATTATTCTTTCTATTTTCTTTTTCTCTCTTTCTATTTTCTTCTTCTCTCTTTATATTTTCCTCTTCCTTTTTCCTAATATATTTTTTAATTTTCTAAGTTCTTCTTTAGTATAGCTCCTATCACTATGGGAGTTATAACCATGCACACTACTATGCCTAAAATGATCACTCATCTTTGTTTGAAAAGGTTTTCACAAGGTTTTCAAATAGAAGCAAAGATTAAAGTGATAAAAAATTTCACAAAAACTTTTAGTGTGTGTGCATGAACCCCTAATAGTAAAGGGAGTCTTCTATACGAACTTAAAAACGTTCCTAAACGTATTGGAAATTAAACTAATGAATAAAGCAACAAAAGAAAGCAAATAAAAGCATATTGATCGAAGTTGTATCCGGTCAAATAAAAATAATTAAATGTAGTACTATGAAGCTTTCCTAGGTCATCTCCCAAGGACCATTCCTCTTTAACAAAGGTTCAAACTCGTAGTGGGGTGGGGGGGGGG